ATGACAGTGTCATGACAGTCTTATTCAACCCCCTTCAAATAAAGTGTTACCACAAAGTATGCTGATCTGACAGAACACCGGCTTGCGGCTGAAGTCGCGCCCATAATTGACGCAAAGCATTATGGGGCGTAGGAATAAGGTGGATACGGTTTCATTCAGAAACCTGTCTGATAGTTTCTATAGGTGCCTGTTGTAAAGGCATTGGTGGAACACATGTTACTGTTATTTTTTATATTGCCCTTAACTAAACAAAAACCCAGTGTGGTAGCCACAGTGATTTACATAGTAAGTATATATGGTCTGGATGTTGTAGGGTTGCCACTCGTCCTGTATTTCACTATTAAATGTAGCGTCCTGATACGGGACGTTTTCTACAAATGTGGATGTGTAATAATAAAGAAATGGTCCCCGAGTATTTTATATATTAGGCTGCCCCAGTCATTGTTTCACTCACAGTGTTGGTTTCTTGGTAACACACACTAACCGACACGCTGCCGACGCAGTCCTCCCCCCCCCCTTCTTTAAATATATAGGGACTGGTCCCTTGGTAACCCTAGTCGACCCACCCCCACCCCTCCGCGCGCTTATGAGACTAGGACGACGCTCATTAGTGGGCGTCCCTTATTTTGATTTCTCAAAGGTGGCAACCCTAGGATGTTGTGCAGCTGGATTGTTTTTTAATACTTTTTATACTTGGCTCATTTGTTATGATGCATAACCATAGCAACAAGGTGGTTTACAACAAGGAGCAGCTGATTAACATTGCAAAAGCCAGAAAAACCAAAGGAGTGGAAAAGGCGGCATCATGGATGCAAAGCAGAAGCAAAGAGAGAGAGAGAGAGAGAGAGAGGAGGAAGTTCAATTAATCTCTTCCATCAATCCTAAATTTCATTGTGCTTTTTGTACAATGACAATAAAGGAATTCTAATTCTAATCAGCAACTTGTGACCATTCGCTAACAAGTTGGATGAATTCCAAGCTCTGACAAGGGCTCAACGAGAGTGTAGAGAATGCAGTATAAAGTGTTTTACTGAGACATGGCTGCAGGATCATATCACAGACTCCAACGTCTCTCTGCTGGGCTTCCTGTACAAGCAGACAGAGATTTAAAGAGCAGCGGGAAAAGAAAAAGAGGTGGAGTAGCAGTGCTTGTCATTCAGGACATGTTACTGCGATGTGTCGCCTCTGCTGTCCTGACATGGAACTCTTGGCAGTTTTCCTTCATATTATTTACCAATATAATTCACCAGTGTTATTTTGGCAATTGCTTACTCAGATGTTGCTGACAATGCAGTCATAAGTTCTGTTGTTGCTAAGATACAGACACAACATCCCAGTCCATTTGTGGCAATGTCTGGTGATTTTAATTAGGGCTGCACCAATTGCAGTTTTCTGGCCGATTGCCGATTACCAAGCTCTAAAAAGGATGACCTGCTGATCCCAATTTTGGCCAATTCCAGTTTATTTTTGTCTGAAATATTTCTAAATGTAACAAAAAAGTTGCTCAGTGGGGTGACTATTGTTAACTGCAAATGTACAGATATGGCCTGGTGGCAGGTATATCTGTCAAACCTCTCACTGCAGAGCAGGAGAAGATAGAGGTTGATTTTTAGACCTTTGCTGAGGTAGATAAGATCAAGGAATAAGATCAGCTTCACTTGCAAGCATCGGCCGATCACTGATCTAAAAAGAATAAGTAAATCAATACACCCCTAGGGAGTATACATAGATAGACAGATCCTAAGCGTATAGCTACAGTATAATATTCTTGTTATTACTTCCATTTTTAGAAATTTACGTTATCTCAAATTCCAATAACGGCTGAAAAATTGCTTCACAATTTCATGATGTACTTTTTAAATTATGCCTTTGGGATTCTTTTGATTAAGCTTTAATATAGAAGGTTTTATTTAACAATATTAGAATTGTGATTTCTTTTGGTATCAAGAGAGTTAACTTGTTGGTAAAACATTTTTACTAAAACAACTATTTAATATCCAAAGTTATGGAAACTTAATCTAAGGTCTGTTAGACTAATGTTCTGTTTTAAGTCTGGACATTAGTAAGAATTCAAACTGAAAAAACTAAAGATAAGTGTCATGTTAGTAAAGTGATTTAAGTGAAGTATTTACTTCGGTTGGTTCTCGTGTAAAAGTATAAGTGAAGTATAAAGAAGAGCTTTCAGTTGAGTTGCTTTAATTTGTTTTTCAGGTGTGGTTTGTCATTTAGAGCCAAGTTTTTTTTTCTTTATGTCTTATTAAAATGACTCATCATTTCCACCTGTTTATTTAAAACACACCTTAGAGTTTTTATCTCTAACGTCAAGTTAAAGGGCAGGTTTTGATATTGTTGGCTTGTAACGAGGTTTTCCTTTGGATTTAATTTTGCAGCTGTGACGTTTCAGCAATAAATGAGCTGCACCACGTTACACATGCAGATTTATTTTTGTTCAATGACAGTCAGACACTGGCTGTGTGGTTTCTGTTGTTTGCAAATGCCAATCATTTAAGTGCTATTTAATATTTTCCTTTTGGGAATAAAATGATCTCTCATTGCAGTACACATAAAAGCAAGCTATAAATTGCTGCATCGGGTTTTTTTTCTCTCCATTTTGCAGGTGTTCAACTCAAAAACAGCAGAGCTGCTCAGCCATCATCAAGTGGAAATCAAACAGCTCTTTCCTAAGGAAGGGTAAGGCCGGTCATCTGCTGTCTGATGTTGCCTCATCCAACTAATATGTCCCTGTAATCTTTCTTCATGTCCAGATGGGTGGAGGAAGATCCCAAAGAAATCCTGCAGTCGGTGTACGAGTGCATAGAGCGCGCATGTGAAAAACTCACACAGCTCAACATCGACGTGTCAAACATTAAAGGTACCACAATTATACTATGATCGAGTATTAGGACCAGGCTAAGAAAAAAGAAAGAATTATGAGAATAAAGTTGTACAACAATAATCTTATTCTCTGAATAAGTCCAAATAATAACAGAGTAAAGCTGAATTAATTCTGTAATAAGGTTACAATATTACCAGTCAGAATAAGGTTGTAATATTAGAAAAATGATGTAGTAATTTTATGAGAACTCCTCCACAAAGGATAATAAAAACTAAAATGAGCAATGTTGATGTTGTGCTCTGGTGTTGGTTTTACAAATATAACTTGATGCTGACATGTTAAAAGATTATCATAAGCAGGACTTTGAGTCTGTTTCAAAGAAAGAACCACACAGACTTGTTAAGCTGGTTATGTCCAATCTTGATAACTAATGGAACTTTTTTTTTCATTGAAATTATTTTTTTCTGTGAATTTTTGTGACATTCGTCTGGTTCTTCTTTCTTCTGGTAATATTTAATATTTATTCTCCTAATATAACTTTATTCTCATAATTTAAATAATTTCTTTTAGTCAATCTGACCCATACTTCTGCTGACTCAGCGATTATTGATGGACATAAAGCCTTGCAATGAAAGACAATGTACTTTCTTTCTACCTTATAAACATCAGCATTTTGTGAAAAATGTAAAGGAGAACATAAAACAGTTCATTGGAAGTCATTCATTAATCCAGGTCACAAAGCTAAAAGCAAATCCTTAAAGTTTATAATATTTATTAATACCTTCAGTGCTCAGATTTCCAAATCAATTGTGTTTGACTTTTTCTCATATGTTAAGCTGCATTCTGCGTAATTGTCAGCCATCGTTGTGTTTAATTTGCTGCAGCTGTTGGAGTGACCAACCAGAGGGAGACTACTGTAGTGTGGGACAAGCTGACCGGGGAGCCCCTCTACAACGCCATTGGTACCGATCTCTATGGCAACCGTTTGTTTAATATGCTGTTGTACTGCGTTTGGAAGACAGTAAAAGTCATGTTTGGGAGATATAGTAGTGGCATAATCACCCTATTGAGGGTTCCAGGAATTCATATAAGGAATTTTCTTGCTCAGCTGATAGATCATTAGATTATTAGTGTGTTTCCATGGAAAGACTTCAAGAGAAATTCTTAAACATTATACAACTAGACATCAGTAGTAGCATACAAAATTTATGCTAAAGATTTGTAGCTAAATGTAGCTCCAAGTGTAGCTAAGAGCAGCGAATTGATCTGATTTGTTGTGTTCCTGTTTAGTATGGCTGGACCTGCGAACTCAGTCAACGGTTGAGCATCTTATAGATAAAACTCCAGGAAGGGATAAGAACCATTTACGAGTAAGAATGAGAGCTGACTTCTTTCCCAGTGATTAATTGTTTTTATTTATTTATTTTGGTGTACATCTAATGGGGATTTTGTGTCACTGCAGCATAAAACGGGCCTCCCGCTCAGCACTTACTTCAGTGCGGTGAAGCTTCGCTGGCTGTTGGACAATGTGGAGGAGGTCCAACAGGCCGTGGCGTCTCACCGCGCCATGTTCGGCACCATCGACTCCTGGCTTATTTGGGTCCTGATAGATTTCCTGCATCACCTCTTTTGTAGAGATCGGTGGAAATTGTAAATGAACGGAGGAAACAATGTTTAAAGTTTTCAAATGTCTTCCTTACAGTGTTTGACAGGGGGAAAATCAGACGGAATCCACTGCACAGATGTGACCAACGCCAGCAGAACCATGCTGTTTAATATTCACACAATGGCCTGGGACGCAGAACTTTGCAAGTATGGCTCCTAAACTTGATTTTATTTTTATTTTATCATGTTGAAATAAGATTTATTTTGTGTACATTTATGGTTTTTATTTTAATTTATGAACAAAACTGCTGACGCGGCTCTACCAACTGGGTTTGTACTTTCTGAAGTTCAGACTATTGGACAGTCATGCACCATTTTTGGGATGTAATTCTGTAACAAATTTATGATAATATTCAATTAACATACAAGATTACAAATATATTAAATTATAAAGGTTTTAGGAATTTATTCTTTACAAATTTTAATAGAAATCTTGAGAAAGACTGAGCTCAGTTACATGTAGTAGTTTTGATGTGAGATTAATGTAAGACACATCACTAAAATAAATACCTTTGAGCCATCAGCTGCTAGTGTAAGAAGAAACCTGAGTGGATTCATGAAGACAAGCAAAATACAGCAAAAAGATCTAAAGAGTCCAAAAAATGTACAAGAAAAGATGTGGTTGTTACAAAGATCCATGAAAGTGGGATAAAAACATCTACATTCACACCAGCCCTGCTCAGGCCACTTTCATCCAACTCCAGTCCGGTTGTCTACAAAGTCTGTTTTGTTTGGAGAGTGTGAATGTGAGCTCTGATCCGAACAAATAATTAAACTCTGGTCTGCTCAGTTGAGGAGCGGTTCGAATGAGGTAAGCGGACCAGAGACCGCTCTGAAAGTAGGAAGCCGACTATACCGCAGGGCATTCTGGGTAAATGCAACCAAAACCAAAAATGTGCCAGAAATGCACCAACCACTAAAATCTGGTGCCCAAACACCCAAATGGGCAGACAAGATGGCTTCTGAAATGACCAGACCTCAGTTCCGAAATCTACTTTAAAAAGCTTCTGGAAAAGACTACAAAAAGAGGCAGTATAACTGTAAAAACTATTGTTTCTACTCTAATCCTAATCCTACAGAGATTAAAATGGAGGACTTCCAGAGCACAGAATGTTCTCCTAATTATATCTTTCATTGGTTTATTTTTTTAGATATTTTGGTGTTCCTATGCACATCTTGCCTAAAGTGAGGAGCTCATCAGAAATCTATGGCCTGCTGGTAAGACGCAAACTCTTTCTTTGTGCAGTTCAATTCTAAAAATGATCCTACTAATTTTATTGATTCTGAAGTGAAAAGGTTTTATCTTTTTGTCTTATGTAAGAAATGTTTTTTAGATTGTTTTTAAGTGCATGAAGGTTGACTGATAAATTCTTTTAGGCATTTTTTGTGCAATTATCTCTCTTTTCCCACTGTTAGAAAATAAGTTCTTGCTGGGTAAGTGATAACTCATCCTCATTCTTTTACTCACCATGTAACCCATCTGGCTTTTCCATCACTGGCAAATAAACCACCATTCCAAAACTCCAAATGTGGAGGAAAGGTCTGCACCTTAAAAGCTATAAAAAGATTTTGTGATTCCAAGCGATATTTAATTTTTCAAAGATCAAAATCAGTTTTGTCAGTTTAATTTTAATGTTATTTAATGAACTTATTTGAAAATATTTAATATTTAGATTTGATTGTACAGACTTTAAGTCTGCACTGATGCTGTATTTTGTTGTCTGAGTATCTAAATTAAATTAGCAAAAATTACAATTTATCAATAGAAATATTTTAGTATTTTATATAAATGTTTTAGATTAATTGATATATTACATATTGGATGAACTATATCAAAAATGATATTAGTGATTAGTGTGATATTAGTTTTACATTAGTAATATTTGACTGGAAAATGTAAACATGTCAGATATAAAAGTCAGATTTTGCTGAATTTAACCTTTTTTTCCTTTAAATCTTTCGGGAACGAACAAAATTTAATAAAAATAAGGATAAACAATCTTTCGTCTTGATGATTCTGTATTTATTAAAACTAGACTCTTACTATGAGACCAACCCTGGATCTATTTTATCTGTTGGGAATGTTTTGGATGGTGGCTGTTGCTGTTGACTGCTCTGCTGGTTGTCCTTCACACACCACTCCATCATGTCTTCACAGTTTTCCTTTCACATTGAATTTCCTCTATAAACTTCTAACCCTAATTTGCATGTGGGAGTGAAGACTTTATTTCCCAAAGATTCACCCTTCCATCTGCTGGTAGAAGTCGGCTGCTTTCCTGTTATTTGACTTTGTTTAGTCAAATAACAAGTGATTTATTTTCCTACGCCTGTGTTACCTGAGCTTGTTTATTCATCATGTTTAGACTTGTTTTCACATTTAATTTTGTCAAGCTATAACATTGTTTAAGATGCGTTAACTTTTTTTTTCCCTTTCATTTTAACTGTAAAGAGTTGAACTGTTAAAACTAGAAGTTGATGGATGGATCGGGTCAATAAGACCAGAACCAAATGCTGGATTTGAGTTGAAATTTGAATGCAGATGCAGTTTCAGTCTGTGTATATTTAAATTCTCCTCAGAATTTAATTTGAGATTAAACTCAAATTTAATTAAAAATGAATTAAAATTTTGTTTACAAATAAAAATTTGGATTTAAATCTTATGGATTTGATTTTCTGTGACAGAAAGCCGGGGCCCTGACAGGTATTCCCATCTCAGGGGTAAGTCTGTCATTTTTTTATTCTAAATATTCTTGCATACCTACATTTATTTAAACTATAATGTTTCTTTTGAACCAGTGTCTTGGTGACCAGTCAGCTGCTCTCGTCGGTCAGATGTGTTTTCAAGATGGAAGTGTCAAAAACACGTATGAGCTTCCTTTAACTCTGCTGGGTTTTTCAATTAATTCTTTTTTAAACGAATGGCCATCCTGTCTTTAGAAATCCAGCAACACTTTACCTCTGTTATTCCTTCAGGTATGGAACTGGATGTTTTCTCCTGCGAAACACTGGAACGAGGGTAATTAAGTTTTTATTTCAAACAAACAAAACGACAACAAAAAAATAACAAAAGAGCATAAACTCCAGTGGTGTGTGTCAACTTTTAGCCTGTCATGTCTAATAACGGTCTGCTGACGACGGTCGCCTACAAAATGGGCCGGGACAAACCCACCTATTACGCTCTGGAGGTAGAGTAACATTTCTGAATTATTATCATGTTTGACTTCATGTAGTTCATGTTTATTCTACTGCAGTGTTCTACTGTGCCTCTTTGGCTCTTCTGACATGATTTTAAGTATAACATAAAATAACGCATAATGCAATAACATGCATGTTTCATTTTTCTTCTAATTGTGTCCTGAGCTATGTGCTGTTTTTATATTGTTTTTCATAAATATCAACATCCCACAGAAGAAAATGTCTCCATCCTATTTTTTTCAAACATTTTATTCAGGGCTGAGCATTTATTCCATTGTTTATTATTTTATTCTGACAAAAATTTTCATTTATTGTCATGATAAATTCCAATATGTTAAGTTTTACCATTTTATTCACAATTTTTTATTTTAGAGTATTGGTAAATATCAATAAATGTGAAAATGTGATTAAATTCAGCTGCTCTGTGCAGTTTAGTGACAGAAATCACTTATTAATGTGACTGGGGTCAGAAAGAAGCATATTAAATATTAGAATCACACAGGCATACCCAAAGTTACCTAAAAAAGAAGTAATGATAAAAATGACGTTATCATCATTTTAATCATTATCACAATAGTACCACAAAACATTGTGATATCAACATCAATTTTGTCAATTTTAAAACCTAAAAATAGCAATAAAATTGGTTCTTTTGAAATATGAGACATTTCCTGCAGTAGATATTCATCACAAATGAGCAAGTTGTCTTTTTTTTATTTTTTAAACATTTGGAGTTCTGTATTAGTTTACTTTAGCTGTACTGGAGGTAAAATGGCTCCTGTCCTAGAGTCAGAAGTGACATGCAGTTTTTGGATAATTTCTTTTCTTCACAAAATCAGCTTTTTTTTTCCCCCAAGTTGAACCTATTTGAGTCATGAACTTGTCACTGAGCCTTTCTGCCTGTTTTATTTTCTGTCATCTTGTTGCCCAGGGATCTGTGGCCATTGCTGGAGCCGTGGTTCGTTGGCTGCAGGACAACCTGGGAATCATCAGCTCATCCGATGAGCTCGGTACTTCCTCCATCAATCAACTGCAACTTTTTTACATTGTTGATTTGCTTTAGATATATTTATGTTTTTGCTTAATGTTTCCTGCTTTCATTTCCTCATTTCTGCAGAGATGTTGGCCGGATCGGTCGGCACCTCCTACGGTTGTTATTTTGTCCCTGCTTTTTCTGGGCTCTATGCTCCGTACTGGGAGCCCAGCGCCAGAGGGTATGACCAACAACTTGTTTACGGCGCAGCATGATCAAACAGCGTTATTATGACTTCAGATATTTACTCCACAGGATCATTTGTGGGTTGACTCAATTTACCAACAAGCGACACTTATCTTTTGCTGCCTTGGAAGCCGTCTGTTTTCAAACACGTGAGGTAAAGCTCAGCTCGAAAAATCTTCTCAGAAAGTGGGAAAAGAAAAAGTAATTAGAATAATTATTTGTGTTTGGATGCAGATCCTGGATGCCATGAATCAGGACAGTGGCATTCCTCTCACTCAGCTGCAGGTTGACGGAGGAATGACGACCAACAAGCTGCTGATGCAACTGCAGGCCGACATTCTCTGCATCTCTGTCGGTGAGGGAGACTCGGGAGGAAAATGGCAGCAGGTTGTGAAAATATTATCAGCACAGAATACCGAGGAATTATGAATTCATCCCACCATCGTTTTAGCGGTTCTCAACGTGGGCGGTACCGCCCCCCCAGGGGGCGTTCAGAGTACGGCAGAGGGCGCTGGCAGACATTTTTACAAAAGGGGGCGCTGGGATGCCTTTGGGGGGCGTTTGGT